ATACTTCGAAGACAAATGTTCATATTTATGAACGTTTTACATATTTTGCTTCTCGTGTAAGTGGGGCTGAGAGGAAGATGAGTTTCTTTTCATGGTGGTGTTCACCGAGTGTTCAGACGACTTTCTTGCTGTTTCACATATTTTTGTAATTCTCGTACAGATTTTTGATTTTGAATTAACGGAAGATGAGATGAACAGCCTGAATAGTCTTGACAAGGGCCAACGATTCATGGACCAACCAGAGTGAGTTTGTGATTGCGTCAATAATCTTTCGCTTTTCAGAATTCGACGGCATCCTGACTATCCTTTTAAGGTGAATGGAGATAGCATGATGCAGGAGAAAGCCGAGAAACAGGAGACTGATTAAAGGTTAGGGTTTTAAGAACTGGCAATCTCTACAAGCACAGGAGAATTTTGGAAGCGCTCAAACCTGTAAAAATCCAGACTCTAACTTTGAAACAGCAATTCCGACTTTCCTGTCATTTTTACCTCTTTTCTGCCTGTTTTCAGTGTTACCGACATTTCGCATTTAGTTCCGCTTCTATTTCGCAAAATAAAATGCCTACTTAGTGAGTTTTAGTAGCACTTGTGATTTGCCTGTGCTCTGCCTGCAAACGCTTACAATACTTCGTCGCCGAGAGGGTTTGGTAATCCGAAGAACGGTTAAACGGAACAGTTAATGCGTACCCGCGTGACGCCTTATTATTACTTCTCCCCGAAATGGACAGTGTTCCAGATTCAAAGGCTGGCAGAGCCGTCCGTATTTCACAAATGTTAATGATGTAGCCTTGAAGATTCAATATATAATACTATTGATATGGGGGTCAATTCCATTGCATCATCATATTCAACCTTCGCTGCAGTAATTTCTACCTAGTATTTGCGTTTTACTAAGAAGTTTTACAAAAGTAGCTAAAATTTGTTTTTCCGTTTATACGTTTGATGTTTTGATTACAATAGTAGTTGGGGTATTCTTCGTCTCAAGTAAGCTCCGATAGAGCCATCTAGCCACGAAGACTTATCATT